GACAGATGATGGACGCTAGTACTTAAGTCCTGCCAGCTACACTCTTAGCAAAGAAGAGAAGGACAACTTGTTTGAATGCCTAGATAGCATTAAGGTACCGTCTGGATTCTCCTTCGAATATAAAGGGTATAATAAATGTGCTAGAGAAGAAATTTGGACACTTAAAGTCCCATGACTGCCACATGCTCATGACTCAATTGCTTCCAGTTGCATTAAGAGGAATTCTACCGCCAAATGTACGTCTAGCCACCGTGAAGCTATGTGCATTCCTCAATGCAATTTCTTATAAGGCAATCGATCCAATGGATCTAGCGAAACTACAGAATGATATGGTTCAATGTCTTGTCAGCTTTGAGTTGGTGTTCCCTCCTTCCTTCTTTGATATCATGACACACCTCCTAGTTCATCTGGTCAAGGAGATTACTATTCTCGGTCCTATGTTCCTACACAACATGTTCCCCTTTGAGAGGTTTATGGGAATCCTAAAGAAACATGTTCACAACCGTGCTCGGCCAGAAGGAAGCATCACCAAGGGCTACGAAACAGATGAGGTCATTGAGTTCTGTGTTGACTTCATTCCCGATATTAACCCGATTGGTGTTCCTGAATCGCGACACGAGGGGAGACTAAGTGGAAAGGGGACACTAGGGAAGAAAACATATATTGGTAAGGGTGATGATTATTTTAATAAAGCACACTACACAGTTCTACAGAACTCCTTCTTGGCAGATCCGTATATCGAGACACACAAGAACCTCCTCCGATCTGAGTTCTCAAGGAAGTCTGAAGCATGGATTACGCGTCAGCACATGGAAACTTTCAGCGACTGGTTGCGAAAAGAATGTCAGGGTGATGAGAGTATTGATGAGGAGCTGTATTTGTTGGCTAGGCAGCCATCGTGGCATATCCTCACATACAAAGGGTATGAGATAAATGGGAATACATTTTACACAGTAGCACAAGATAAAAGGAGCACCAACCAGAACAGTGATGTCCGCATAAATGCCACCGACCCTAGTGGGAACAAGCAAACATACTATGGCCGCATAAAGGAGATATGAGAACTAGACTATGCATCTCATTTTAAGGTACCTTTGTTCAAGTGACAGTGGGTAAAGACGATTGGAGGCGGCGTAGCAGTCGACAACCAGTATGGAATGACAACAGTGGACCTCAACAATATTGGGTACAAAGGCGAACCGTTTGTCCTTGCGAAGGATGTGACTCAGGTGTTCTATGTCAAGGACATGTCTACAAAACCGAAGAGAGGGAAAAATGACAACCACCCAATCAATGATGAGCCAAAGTGCCACATAGTTCTTTCAGGAAAAAGAAACATCATTGGAATCGAAGACAAGTCAGACATGTCAGAAGATTATGAAAAGGATGACCGAATTTCACCCTTCACAGTGAACATAGACCCTAGCATCCAGCTAAATGATGAGAACACTCCATGGTTACGGCGCGATCATAACCAAGGGACATACGTCAAGAAGAAGTTCACTACTGTGCCCGCTTGATATATATATTGATGTTCAATAGTGTGTGTGTATTAGAGATATTATGTAATAATTGTGAATTTATGTTTGATGTTGAATTATGTCACGTTGAAATGATATGAAAACAAATTTATGTTTGATGTTGGGATTATGTCACGTTGAAATGATGTGAAAACAAATTTATGTTTGATGGTGGGATTATGTCACATTCAAATGATGTGAAAACAAATTTCCAGTCGAAACACAAGAGTTTTTCTGAATTTAATTAAACACTATAGTTTTGCATTATCGAAATAGTAATTTAAACACTATATTATGTTTTAAAACTTGTTAAAAAAATTAAAACTTTAGGTCACATAATTTTCCTGTGTGCAATAAAGAAAAATAGAATCTATATTTTTTAAAATATTTTTATGTCTTTTATTTAATTTTCTGTGTAATTAACTATCCTTTTATCATTTGTGTAAAAAGAAATATATTAAAATCCTAATGAATTGATGAGCAGCGAAACTGCAATTTGGTTGCCTGCCAAAAACCTTTAGTCTCGGGCACCACCACCAGCCGGGACTAAAGGTTACGTTTAGTCCCGGGCGCCACCACCAGCCGGGACTAAAGGTGCGACCTTTAGTCCCGGGCGTTAACAGGGCCCGGGACTAAAAGGGCCTTTAGTCCCGGCTGGTGGTGGCGCTCGGGACTAAAGGTCCTCTCCCTTATATAGCCTCTGCGCCCGCCCCGGCCCCTCTTCTTCCTCCTCCCCACTGTCGAGCCAAGCCCTAACAGACCCACCGCCGCTCGTCCGATCTGCCACCGACGCTGCACCTCGCGAGTGCCCGCATGCACATCGGTGCCCCACCGCCCCGATGTCGCATGCCCTAAAATGTCTTCATGGCCGCCGCCTCCGACCACTCTCGCCCGGTGCCCCGCCCCCACCGCCCGACCCGCCCCGACGCCACACTACAGCCCCGCCCAACGCCATGCCTCCCCTGATGCCGCGCCACGCCCCTGACGCCGGCCCTAACGCACGCCGCCCCTGACGCCCGATGCCACGCCGCTCCTGACGCCACGCCGCCCCTGGCGCCCGATGCCATGCCACCAATGACGCCGCGCGTGCGGCCCTGACGACTCCACCCGGCACTGCCGCCACGATGCAAGCCACCACCGACACCACCACCCAGCCGCCACTCATCATCACCGCCTCGGACGCCCATCACACGACCACGTCGTCGCCGATCATCACCGCCGACCCCTACGTACGTCGATATGTGTTTGTATGTGATATATGCAGAGGAACGCCTCGTTGTGTTGTATACGGAGCAACGCCGTCGTTGTGTTGTATGCGGAGCAACGCCGCCTCGTTGTGTTGTATGCGGAGCAACGCCGCCTCATTGTGTTGTATGCGGAGCAACGTCGCCCCGTTGTTGTATATGTGGAGCAACGCCGCCCCGTTGTTATATATGTGGAGCAACGCCGCCCCGTTGTTGTATACCCTAGCGAGAATGACGATTCGCCCTAGCGAGAACGACGAATTCGCCCTAGCGAGAACGATGAATTCGCCCTAGCGAGAACGACGAATTCGCCCTAGTGAGAACGACGAATTCGCCCTGTCGTTCTCGCTAGAGCGAATTGTCGTTCTCGCTAGGGCGAATTCGTCGTTCTCACTAGGGCGAATTCGTCGTTTATATGACTTGTTTACACATATGACTTGTTTACATATATGACTTGTTTATATATATGACTTGTTTATATATATGACTTGTTTACATATATGACTTGTTTACATATATGACTTGTTGACATATATGATTGTTTACATATATGAATTGTTTATATATATGACTTGTTTATATATGTGACTTAGATTTATTTTGTATATGACTTATTGTACATATATGACTTGTTTATATATATGACTTGTTTATATATGTGACTTAGATTTATTTTGTTTATGACTTATTGTACATATATGACTTAGATAAATTTGTATATGACTTATTGTATATATATGACTTGTTTATATATGTGACTTAAATTTTGTTAAATTTGTTAGATATGGCTGCCCCGGGAGACAACATGGAGGAAGAAATGATGAATATTATTGCCAATGCTGGTGAGCAGGATGTTGATGACGGAAGTCAATACCTAGCTCTTGAAAATGAGCAAGAAAATGTTTTGCAAGAAAATACAGGCAAGGTATATATACTAAATATATATTATATGTGAATATTGTATATATTTCTGTGTACAAAAGATATTTATTTATTATTTTTTTATATGTAGCCCTCTAGATCGGCGACCACAACGGCGAAGAGCAAAAATGTCCGAGGACTGAAGAAACCACTGGAGGGCCGGTACATAATATCGGAATTCAACATCGAGACAGGTGAACCACTTGGTCCACATAAAAGGAAATTCGTGGAACACTGTGGGTACCTTGTAAGGGACAAAATTCCGATCAGTATCCGTGAATGGAAGAAAAAGATCAACGAGCCTGATGTTAGTTTTGTTTCTGATGTTGACAAGAATTTGCTCTGGAATGATATCCTTGCCCATTTCACGTTGCAAGCGGATGATTATGACACTACAAGAAATCTTAGGATCTATGACGACCTGTTATCATCATTATTTCTAGTATTTTTGTCATAGCAAATGTATTTATGACGACTGCATGACGATAAACCATTTGTCATACATCATGCGTGGTAAACCTTGTTCTATGACGACTGCATATTTTTTCATCATAATTTTTTATGACGATCCGATTAAAAAGTCATCACTAAATATCTTAAGGCCTAGCTAGGCCCATGTACTAAGCAGGTTTTTATTGGACCAAATATAATTATGAGCCAAATTTATAATTTGCAAAGGCCATTTATATAAGTAAAATTAACATCAATTTCTGGGCCATGTTTTTTTTGCGGCCTATTTATTTAGTGGGCCAGAAAAGGCCTAGCCCATTTAAACATGTAGAGAAAACAGCCTTTTCATCATCCATACATAATCAGCTCATTTCAACTTCTATTACATACCAGCCCATTTCGACATCCATTACATGACATCCCATATATAATCTGTACATTCATCAATCAAAGCCCTTACACATTTATCAAATCATCCAGAATCTCATTCACATATATAATCCGTAGATGCATCACAACCCATACACATTCATCGATCATCCAGATCTCATTCCAAAGGATAGATAAATATGGTCACATCCATCAGTAATTTTACAAATCCCAGATAACACATTTCCACATAGCAAAAAGACAACACTAACAAGATACATAACAGAAATTAATATGGTCTGAACCAGATCAGACATGTCTCAAAATAACAGCACTACCAATGTGTGTAGCATAATCTGAACTAGATCAGCCAAGTCTCATGTAATAGCACTACCAAATGTTTGTAGCATAAAATAATATGGTCTGAGTAGCCAAGTTTCAAAATCAGACGTCCAACCATATGCATCTGCAAACTTATAGAGTTGAAGGAATGGCCTTACTCTTTGCTGAACATGCGACGAAAGAAAACATTCGTCTCGTCTTGTGCCTTCTTCAACTCATCTTGTGCCTTCTTCAACTGCTCTGTCTCTTCTAACAGCCTGCGTCTTTCATTTTCTGATTTCTCCACCTTCTTCAAAGTCTCCATCTCATCCTTTAGTTCTTCTTTGTCTTGCTTTCCAGCTGCAACTTCTGCTTCAAGTTCTATAACCCGTGCATCATTAATGGCTTTGGAGCTTCTCTTGGGGGCTGCTAGCTGAAGGCCAATATTTTGAAGAAATTTTGATTTCGGCAACACTTGAGCAACAACTTCAGTAGGGGTCTTTGAAACTTGGCCGTCTTCTATAGGTGCAGCAACGATGGATTCCATTTTAGCCTAAAAACATCAACATATCAGTAAGATAGTTCTAAAATTAATCACCGACTAGTATATTTAAAACCAACAGAAAGGTGGTCATAATTGATAGTAGTGTTGCTCAAATAAGTGAATGCAGGCTTTGTAAAACAGATGTACAACCAAGGTTCACATTAAAGGCCATTTAAAGCACGAAAACATTTTTCCAACTAAATATTTTACCATAATTGAGCATGACACAAATGACTCTTCCCATTTCAATATAGTGAAATCATTTATGCCCTTCAAACTATTACACTACAGTTTGGGATGATGACTCATTACAGTACAGGTTGGGAATTTAGGAATATTTCTGTTTTGGCAGTGTCTACAAGTTTACATGTGCTATTAAGAGGGTTTCTAGACAGCAGTGACATCATGCAGTACAATCTTGCCAGATTAGCATGAAACAGCTGCTGCTACACATGCAACAATTGATCATTGTTCCTTGGAACAACAGGAAGCATGTACAAGTTGCTGCTACACATGAATAGGAAGTTGCTGCTACACATGAACAAGTTGTTGTTCTGTGTCTCACAAGTAACAGCAGGAAGCATGTACACATTACAGACTCACTAAAACTAGTAACATTTGTTCAGAGCTATATATAGTTCAAAATGGAGCTTGTACTTACAATAGCTTCCTTTGCAGACTCATTAAACCCAGTCTTGCTGTTGCAATGTAGCGCCTTGAAAAGATCTATCGCATTGGGTGGTTCATCTTTATATTTCTCTTGCTTCTAAAATTATTCACAAACATTTTGTAGGTGTAAGATTAGAAGAATAATTGTTCAATGATGAATGATTGTAACACAATGTTTCCATATTTTACCAAGGCATGGGTTGTCGCAATATAGCACCGAGATCCTATCATCTGATGAAACCTTACTTTCTCACGGTTAAGTGCATTTTTTGCACACTTGTCCTGTGAGGAACAATTTAGGAAGCAGGGAAGAATGGCTATAGAGAGATCAAAATTAGATGAATTTGAAACCAGATTTGCTAAGATATTCAACAAACATCAACACTCTTTAAGTGTAGTTGAATTTATGTCCATGACAAGTTATTAACCTAAAATAGTTTGAAAAATAGAAAGTAATCACAGCCAAAGATTGTGCCCTATTCTGGAAGACCAACTGCAACACAACCCTATATGTTGTCGCTAAAATATAATGAGCTACAGTTGTATTGAGTGCAGCCCAATAGGCTCATTAATATCTAATGAGCACACAATTATCAAGGTAACAAGCCAAGCTACTTCAGGTATAATTGTAAGGATGGCCTACTGTATCAGTCCAATATAGCATAGCTACAAAATCTTAGACACAATGAAATTGGTGTACAATACGAAGAAATAAACTCAAACATGCAACAAACCAATGCAAGAAAAATAAATGGCTTAAGAAAGCAATTGACCAACATGCCTTGTGCTTTGGGCTTGACCACATCTCCACCAGCTCTCTCCATTGATCATCAGTCATACTCTTCAATGGTGATGTTGTTCTAACTTTGTCTGCCGGTACACCATTGAAGTAAAGCTTCTTCAAATTGTATCTCATTTGCCGTGTTCCAGTCCTGAGCAAATCAGCACATGCCTCTTCGACTGGCTTGCTGTTAGTATCAATTGCTAATTGATTCTAGTCGACAGCATGTCAAGAGCATGTGCATCAGAAAATAGGTGTTAGAAGTATATAATGTGATAGAAATTTTTTAACATTAACCTGACAGGAAACTTTAGAAAATCACAATGCAACAGCAGGCAAGAGCACAAGGTTCTAAATTGGCAGTCAATAGAAAAGTAGCAGGGACAAAATGTTTATGGAAGGTTCTAAATTTTTAGAATGTGGTGAGAAATAGAGAACATACTTTCTTGCTTTCCGCTTCATTTCAGTTTACTATATATTGGCAGTGGCACTCAAAATAAACAAACATGCCAAACATTTCAAGTAGATAATACTACAGATAAACTTTATGGTGGTGCTTACAGCTGATGTAAGTTAAACGGATCATTACAACATCAGTCGGAATAAAATAACATGTAAAGATTGAGGCAAAAAAAATATTGGCAGTCCTAGCATAATGTTAACAGTTAAGCTCCTTGTCATATGCTACTGGAGGCAGAAAAATATTACTCATATATAGGAGTAAACATAGATCATGCACACCCAATAAAAACTGAACATATAGCCTTTATCCACTTACAGAAATTTTGCCCATGTAGCCTAGAAGAATATCCTTGTTCTTGATATCCTTGTACTCCTTCCAGTGTGTAAAGATTGGGATATGTTGCCTCAGTATAATCCCCCCCCCCTCCGATGCCAACTTTGCAGCTTGCATAGGCGGCTCAGGTCGTTTCTTCCCTTCAGCAATGACCACCGGAATCCTAGTGTTTAAGCCTCGTCTTATGCGATCCAAGTCTCTGCCCATGCTTTTACCTTTATTCCATCGATCTACAGTGTAATTTGATTGACCTGGAAATAAGTGGCATTGTTAAATAGCTAGTGCAAATCATTTTAATATGCAAATGTGTAAACCATATTCTTGGAGAAAGGAGTATTGCTTTCTTGCCTTCTTTGCGCATTTCTGTATCATGGTCAGTTTGGTTAAGACAATTGGCAATAGTCAATGCATCTTCTTGTATAGTTGTAGTTGCAGCATGGACGCCTTCCTCGCTTTGAATCAGTTCCTTTGTCCTCTGCCTAGTCACTCTAGGAGGTTGATTTTGGCCTTGTTCATCAGGTGCTCGCACTCTCTTTGAACCTCTTGCTCCTCCATTAGCAACGATGGTGTCGCAAGGCACATTCTGTGAAACCTGCATAACCTCATATGCATAACACAAGAAAACAGAAATCAAGATTAATCTTTTTTGCATACTGAACCAGAGTCATACAAAGAACCTGAGTTCAACAAATACCTTATCAACTACACCTCTTCACTGCCATCACTATCTCTAGGGTCATACAATGAACCAGAGTTTTCACGAGCCATAGTCTTCTTAGTTGCAGTGGTCTTGTTCAAAATGTCCTTTGTTGCATTAATACCAAGGGACTGAAACACACGATTGTTCCTCATGATCGTTTCAGCCCTTACTCTTTCACATTCAGTGGCTGGCGACTCTGTGAATGTAGGAAAACGGATCAACGTCAATAGCCTCATCAAAGATATATTTCCTATTAGAAATGGCACCTATCAATGAAAATGCAGCTTGAAGCTACGTCAGTCCTTTACACACTGGAAGGACTGCATAGGTAAAAGAACACGCCGGGTAACAAAAAAACATCAGAGCCTGATAAAAAGTCTGAAAATCAACTGATTCTTTGAGGATCAAACTACATTACTACAATACTATAGAATATTTGCTGCAAAACTGGAACCAGGCTCTAAACTTGAAAAGCACCTGCCAGGACTTAATATATAGATGAATTCATTCTACTAAGGTACTACTAAAAAGAATAGCTTGCACATAACAGGAACCAAGCTTTTTAACTTTAAAAACACATAATCAGCAACCTAATGACAATGTAAGTCAAGTTCCTAACCATGCTGCTAGCTAGGATATTGGCAGACCTGAAGTCGCTGTTGCCTCTGCTTCTTCAGATATGCGTCAAGACTCGCTACCAATCATGGATTTGAGGGAGAAAAGGAGAGATTTCTCCTATGGCTCGGTAGCTAGTAGCTGGGGCGGCCGCCCCAGCTTGCCTACAAGGCTACCCTCAGATTTCGACTACAGCAGTTCTACATCACCTACGTGCAGAGCCTATATAATCCCCGACAAGAACCCTATGCTAAGATCCAAGAAATCTGATGATTTTACCTGCTGGTTGCCATCTACTTCCTGCCAACTTCCGTGCAGGAGGCATCGTGTTCAAAGGTGGAGTGAAGGAGGACGCTGCAGATGTTGGAGCAGGGCACGTCGTTAGCTCGAGATTCGGAATAGTGGGCTTGTCGGCTATGGAGAGGATGGCGAGTGCGGCGTGGGGGACGGGACGGAGAGGGAGGGGTGCGAGTGCGGAGTGGGGATGAGAAGGGCGGCGAGTGGGAAACCCTACCCGCGAGTGGGGATAGGAAGGGTTCCGGGAGTGAGGATTTTACATCCTTGCCCTTTGATACAGTGTTGAATGTCCTAGGTATGTTTGGATAGAAAGGTCATTGCATCCTAAATTTTTCGGGTCCAGGCGCCTCTGGCCCAAATCTTGGCGCCTCAGCCAAAATCTGGCGCCTCTGGCCCGTAAATTTTCTTAGCACATGGTATGCTGAATTTATTGAGAAGCTGACATGATTATTATCTTGAATGAATATGAATACTATTCTTATTGATTGCATACGATAAAATCAAAATCAGAAATCGATACTCACCGTGACTCCCATGATCTGTGTGCAGTAGGGGCGGGGCTGCAAGGGCGCTGGGACCTGAGCAGCAGTGTAGACGCTTGGGGCAGTGGGCACTGGCTGGGGGCCATGCACCTGGCAGCGCCCACCGCCCAGCTGCCAAGCAGTGTCGGGGCAGACGGTCGCTGATGGATCTACCGGAAGCACCGAGAAGATGTGGAGAAGGAGGAGCTCGCCACGAAGTAGGAGCACATAGGCGCGGAGGCGGAGCTGAGGGGCGATGGGAGCATTCGTTGGGCGGCCAGGCGGCGTTCAATCGGGAGCAGCCGCCGGCGCATGTGCGAAGACTCACGGACTCCCCAGGAAGAACAGGATATTTATTCTTCATTAATATTGAGTCAGAGATAAATAAAGAAAAACACTAGCATAGACGTGAACACTTCTCTAGTCTAGTGGCTAAGGCTGCTGATACATGTGTGAGAGGTCCGAAGTTCGAATCTCCGTTGCGGTGTTTTGTTTTGCATTTTGTGAATGCCCAGTGCCCACGCCGTGCGGACCAGAATAAGAGTGCCGAGGCCAGCTGGGCTGCCCAGTGCCCACGCCGAGCGCTCCGTTTCAGGCCTGCTGCCTGTTGGGCTACCACCGGTGGGACACGAGCCCGTCTGGTTGGCCTGGGCTACCCTCACATAGCAGAGAATACATCTATATATCCAGTAACTTGCAAATGTTAGCAATCACATGTTGATGTCCTAGTGGTGAAGACTCATGGATGTTAATAATACGATCTCAGGTTCAAATCTTGCAATTGTCTTAATTTTTTTTTCTAAATATTTTATCTCTACCTTAGGAAAAGTATTATACCTTTTTCATATCATATGCCGTGAGATGAAGATGATTTTTTGTTTTTTATTTTCTGAAAATAGCATTACATATAGAGCCCATTAAAATACAACTGACAATGGGACTAAATATCTCATTTATTATATGTAAATAAATAGTTATAACAAACTAATATTGTCAATAATTTATGATGACCGCAAGGTAGCATGTTTCGACGGAACATAGATCATCATAAACAAACTACTTCTCTAGGTTATGATGATTTTTATTGTGTCTTAATGACGAACACATTATTTTCGTCAAAAAGTCATTCTCCTCCTGAAAGTCGTCATAAAACAGAATGACTTATTGACGAATTGACTCATCGTCACAAAAAATTTGTCATAGATCTTCATATTTCTTGTAGTGTGATGATATCAACGATGATGAATTGAAGGAGCTAGTTCGATCGTGGGCTATGAAGAAGATGGCCACACAATTCTAGACTTGGAAGAAACACCTATACAACACATACATCAAGAAGAACGAAACACCGAATTTCAATACTGCTACAGGCCCGATCTTGAAACAAAGACCCTATTGGAATGATTTCGTAGAGTACAAGACATCAGCAGAGGGTGAGGCACGGGTGAGAAGGAACCAAGAGAATGTCCGAAAAAAGGTATACCACCATGACATGGGATCAGGTGGCTACGATACTGCCATTCTGAAGTGGCAAAAAATAGAAGCGAACATTATTGCCAAGGGGATCAAACCAGAATCAGCCAAGTGGCCCCCACGCTCGAAGAATTGGTTTTTCGGTCATGGGCGAAGACTCGACCCACAGACCGGTCTAGCAGTGTATGGGCAAAAACTCGAAACAGCAGCACGCCGATTGGCTTTTGCTATAGAAGCTAAAGAGATTGGTGTGTTCAAGCCCAATAGAGAGAAGGATGAGTTGACGTATGCCATCGGGACTGCTGAACACACTGGCCGAACCAGAGGCTTAGGACGCAACACTCCATGGGTTCATGGTTTCCCTAATGACAGGGAAACCTATCGAAGCCGCTAGAGAAGCAAGGAGGAGCAAACAGCGCGGGTGACAATGCTGGAGGAAATGGTGCTTGAAGCAAAGGAGCGAGAAAAAGCAATGGAAGCAAGAATGCAGGAAGAAATCAGAAAGCAAGTGCAGATAGCAATGAGTGCCCAGAGGCAGGCATCAGAGCCAGGAATGAATGTTAATATTAGCCCCCCTGGTCAGTTGAAAAGCAGTTGCGCTTCCACTGAGCTGCCAAAGTAAGATGACGCAGCGCTGCGCTTCCTCGTGGATGATGTCACTACTCCAATGACATCAATTGAGCTACATGTTCCAAGGGGAATGACACAATCAAGGTCACTGTCGGTGTTTTTACTTCTCCAGACCTTACCAAGACACCAAGAATCCATGGGGCACCAATACAACCTGGACATGCTAGGGTCGCAGTGGATAAAGTGAGCAAAGGTTATGAGGATCTAGCTCTTGACATTCCTAGAGGTGATGGAGAGAAGACTCTAGGAGAAGCAGAGAAGGCATATATACTATGGCGCAAGCGCTACATCATTATCCCTGGGGCGTCTACTCCACCGCCAGCAGACATTAGGTGCGGACAAAAGTTAATAAAATAATTTTTTGATAATTTTCTATGGGTATGACTAATAATAAGCATTTACTTATATCTCATTATTTTTTGTACTCACAAAGCAGGGCCTCCGCCAACCAAAGTCCAGTTGTTGCTTCTCCCGACCATCATAGTGCTCAGGGCAATGATGACGCCTTCGAAGGCACTGCTGCATCCCCACCATCTCCAACTCCTCCGCCGCCTCCAAGGAAGTCCACAACTCCTCCACCGAGGTCTCCAACGCCTCCGCCGCCTCCAAAGTCTACACTGCCTCCAAGGCGGTCTCCAACGCCTCCCCCGCCTCTAAGGAAGCTAGCCCCTAAGAGGTCCGCCCCGCAAACGAAGCCGTTGTCCTGCCCGCAGGCAAAGAAGTAGAAAGCAAATACTCATCCAGTTATTCCCCAAAAACTATCTTATGAGAAAAGTGAACAGGAATTAAAGGATGCAGTACAAAAAGAAGTGACAGATTTCTTTGAAGGTGCAAATCAGGCACGACGAGCGAGGGAGAACCCGGAGCCATCATACTTCTTCCTACCTCTAGATCAGCTAAGAAAGAAGTTGGAACAAAAAAACGGGATTCTCTTAAGAGCGCCGCGAAACAACCGATATCGGACTATGGCCGCTCTCTCACCAAGTTATATGAGGCGGCGCAAAAAAAGAAGAGAGTAGGGAAAGGTGTTGCACAACTCAGACAACAATCGCAACAATCAATCCCCCCCTTGTCGTTCCTAACGAATATGGTTCAAACTTAAACTTAGTGGAGGAGGTAGGCGGCTATGAGTCGTTTCTTCGGTTTTATGAGGACACTGGTTTGAACCTTGCCGAAGTGCTCGCTGAAGGACCATCTGCTCCGGAAGTGGATCCTTACAAGAAATTTGTACCAGGCCAGAGTCTATACAACCCAGAGAAATTAGGTGAACTGGGTATGCAAATGTACCTGCTAAACGGGTGGTACATGTCGGCGTCTGATGCGGGACAAATCTATCTTTCTGTCAGAATTAGAAACCACCATTACTTCCGTGGCAATAACATTATCTATGTCGAGCTTCCAGAATTACACCAACTATGCCACCTAGACTCTCTCGACAAAAGTCTCATTAGCTGCTATTGTCTGTAAGTGTGATTATTTTCTACTATATTCATAATTTCTTTATTATATATTCACAATTTTCATGTATGTAGATATGAGATGACAGAACTTAGAAAGAGAAAGGATAATGATGTTGGGTTCGTTGATCCGTATGTTGTATACAAACACCCTAACCCCCCGAAGGATTATAAGACTCAACCTGAGAGAAATCTCATGAATTTCTTAGTGAACCAACGCGACAAGAAGGAGATACTCTTCCACTACAACTTCAAGTGAGTGTTATTATAAGTAATTAATGTCGATCATATATATGGGACATCAATATTTCCTTACTAGCTAGTTACCTCTCTCTCTCTCTCTCTCTCTCTCGCGCACACACACACACACACACACACACACATATATATATATATATATGTTTATGTTTATGTTTATGCAGCAATCACTGGATATTGATGGTCATCGATATGGCCAATAATAGATTGAAAATCTTAGACTCGTTGAGAAAACCGCAAATGGAGTATCAAGACATGATAGATATTATACAAGGGTAATTAATTTAGTTTCTCTATAATAACATATATATATATGGCGCCGATCTCTCAACAATTATTAAAGGTTAAATTATTTTTTTATTTTATTGGGAGCAGGGTTTGGAAAAGGTTCATTGAGGAACAAAAAATGAAACATTACAAAGCGCCACTGAGTGTAATTGCACACAAAGTAAGTACTATAACTACACATTTATATTCAATTAACACCATAATTGATGATTTCAATTCACCCTAATTGATTTTTTTGTCGTACAAGTGGGTTATAAGGCAGGAGCAGGGTAACAACTACTGCGGATACTATGTTTGCGAGTTCATCATGGCGTACTCAAAGAGAACTCCTGAAGAGCAACTCAAAGTACGTATATAAATACTTTTTCCTTTATATTATTTCGATCCTATATTTACAATTTCTTTATTGCTCTCATTTGTATAAGTAATTACATGAGCAATACACATACATATATATATATTAATACTTTTTCCTTTAACTTTTATTGAAGACTGAATGATTGAGGGAAAGAGTCATACGACTTGACCAACTTAAAGCAATTCGAGAGACTATAGCAGGATTTCTAAATGACCAGGTCATCAACCCAACGGCGAGTTCTACAATGACCCGAACGAAACGTGGATGCCTGGAGGAGTGAATTGCTAAGGACATAAACAATTTATATATCAAACCTTTGTAATATATATATATATATATATATATATGCACATATTATATGTACATAAAATAACGTGCGTATATATATGATCATCATATATATATATGCATGTACGCGTATATTCGTTTGTTATTTATGTACAAAGTTCGAACGAAAACTTACGCATGCGAAGTACACATATATATTACTATTAGCAGCGTATTAAAAAAATGTATTTTAATATCAAAACTAATCATTAAATGAAAAAAGAAACAAAAATAGAAACCAGAAAAAGGAAAAAAAGAGGGACATTTAGTCTTGGTTGGTAACACCAACCGGGACTAAAGGTCTTGCCCCGTGGCG